ATCAACACAACTTGACGTAGAGACATGATTGGCTAAAAAATACAACGGTTTTTGATACATCGGAAAATCAACCAAAAATCGGAGACTGGGCGAAACGCTCAAGGTCGCAGAGGTAAAGGGAATCCCATAGCGAAAGCAACGGAACGATTCTAATATCATGGGGAACTCCGTTCCCATGACAAAAACGTCAAATGTCTCCTCTTCAAAACCTTCCGTAGAAAACGATGCCCACAACGGTAAGGTCGGAAACCAACTCCTGAACGAAATACACCAGGAAAAAAAAAAAAAAAAAAAAAAAAAAAAAAAAAAAAAAAAAAAAAAAAAAAAANAAAAAAAAAAAAAAAAAAAAAAAAAAAAAAAACACATTGGGTCTAGAGTCCAGACTCTTAAAAACATCGACAAGAAAAAATACTCTTGATTCAATCGGATTTTTGCTTAAATCAAGAACCAAGCTTATTTATTTTGAGCGGATTTCCTTTTGATTTAAGCTTAAATCTGATTGAATCCAGAGTCCTTTTTCTTGTCAATGTTTTCAAGTGTCTGGACTCTATAGGTCCAATGTGTTTTTTTTTTTCCCAGTGAACCATGAATTTTCAGGAAGTCTTACGGTCCCTAATCAGACATTTTCCAAGGAAGTCAGGGAATTTTGAGAATCGTGATCGAGAATTTGTTCCACGCTGAAAGTCAAAGAATTATGAAGTGTCACCGGAGCATAACAACCCGACGTCACGCGCACTGTCTCTATCAGAAAACGTCAGGAAAATTGGAGAGGAAACAACTTGTAACGCATCGATTTAATTCGTCCCCCGTCCGCGCCGGCCCGTTTTCGCAACTTCGCTCGTATATCTTGGGCGCAGTCAATTTCTTGGAGCGTGGCGTAATGTTGAAAAATGAAGGGGGAAATTAGTCAGGCTTTATGCAGCTTTCCGCGGTCAATTCATGAAGTTTTGAATCCCGCGGGAATATGTATGAGGAAACCATCAATCGGCCCGGGCCGCCCTCTGCTCTGCCTCCGTGTCCGTCTCGACCGCGTCAATTTATTCCATCATCAATCAGCCGCGCTGTTGCCGCATCTACCGATAAATCATATTTTTGCTGTATATTACTATGGGGTTCTTGCACGGCTTGGCAACGCCGCCCTTGCCGGTATTAGCCCTCTGCACTCAAGAGCGTACGCTCGCTCTTTCCGTTGCGGAAACAGGCAGTTAGGTTTTTGCTCCGCTGCGGTGGTCGGCGACTCCTCATTA